TTAGATGGAGGAGGCCAAGTACTGCCACCTGCCAGCTTGAGGGATTCATCCATTTGCCAAACACAGAAATATGGGGAATTTGTTCCCTTTTATTTTGGGGAAGGTGGCGGGGGGTGGAGGCGTTCTCTTGCTGGCCATCAAGTGAGCCTCGATGGTTGTCGGTTTCCTGCACTTCGCCGTTGGCTGGAAATGGCAAGCAGCAGCCGGCCGGCCATTCTCTGCAAGCCTCATGGACTCGCATAGACGGGCGGGTGCTCCCAGCCGCCCGATGCGCAGACAGGCCCGCAAAGAGTCGGAGCAGAGGGGATCGTCCCGGTTAATCCGGGCTTGGGAAGGCAGGGCCAGGGAAGCTTGTCCGGGCTAGAAGGGCCTGCCAGAAGCGTTTATCCTGGCAAGCAGGTTTTCCCGCTGAGCTGTCATAATGACCCAGCGGGAGCCAAAGGAACCCGGCGGGAGACCGTTCACCAGAAGGAAGCTGTTTCCCAACGGAGGGCTGGCATTGTAGGACTCCTGCTGGCCCAGCAACATGGGGCAAGCACAGGAGCCGCACCCCCCAGTATCCCCCGCAGGAGAACAGGGACGGCAGGAGGAGGAGGAGGAGGAGGAAGCTCCGCAACGTGTGGCTCTCTCCCCCTGGCCAGCGGTGCCGACGCCTGGGTCCGGAACAGGGCCGGCAGACGGGCACACACAGCGACCAAAGCCAGCCGCTGCGCTGTGTCCCTCCCATCGCTTCATCGCGTGTTTTTTAAAAAATGAAAATAGCATCAGTCAAATTCGGGGCTGAACAGGGGAGGAAAAAGTACAGAAGCAGGTAGGATGTGGAGCAAATTCAGAGTAAAGTGGGTCAGAGCAGAGGGAGCAATGACATTGCCTGATAGAAGACAGCCATTTTTCCAAACAAGCCATCTTCTGCAGAAGATGGATGAAGTAAAGGCTAATGGTCAAAGAAAATACAAAATCTGGGAAAGATCTGGAAGAATTATTCTGTGTACGCGCGCATGTGTGTGCATTTATGGTTGAAATCTGAACGTGAGGAACACTATAAAAGTTTAATCATTGTTTTTAGGCAAATAATATTAAATCCATCCACTAATCCATTACAACAATCCTTAAACTCAAATATTGAAAAGATACTCTAGGATGAAGCTCTTATTTACACTGTTTGTGGAGCGCAACAAAGCGCGCCAACCTTAGTGCTATTTTTTAAAAAAACAATCCAACTAATACAGAAGCGGGATTATTTTGCAGAACTGCAAAAATTAGTAGCCGAGAGCAACGGACCTGGCTGACCCCCTCGCCTTGAGTCGCGAGGAGCCCTAGCTCCCTGAGGCAGGTTTCCTTCAGCCCCCCGCCAAGGGCCACGGCGGGGGGCCTCCAACACTCCTGCGCGGGACGCAACGCACTGCTCTTCTCTTGCAGCCGAGGCCTCAGCACGCCATCACCATCGCCGTGTCATCCCGAGCCCTGTTCCGGATGGAAGAGGAGCAGAAGATTTACCAGGAGCAGGGCGTGGAGGCCTACGTGAAGTATCAGCTGGAGCACGAGAACGAGCCCTTCCTGCCCGGAGCGGCCTTCCCTTTTCTCAAGGTCCGGTCTGCCTCCAGTGGGCGCTTGCTCGCGCTCCCACACGCCTGCGCCGGGGGTACTGGCTCCGCCCCGGGGGCCTGGCGGTGCTGGTGGCCATTGCCAGGAGCCAGGTCTGGGCCAGCTCCTCCGGAAGAGCCCCTTCCACCTCCTTGCGCTCCCTCTTCCACCCGTCACCGGCATGTTCCCCGTGGCCCTTGGAGACCAGCGTTCCCTGGTTCAGACAGTTTCCCCGTCCTGGCCGGAAACTGCTGTTACCAGGGCCAAAGCCAGTGAGCTGTTCCCTGTCTTAGGTCACTGACCGTTCGAGCCCTCCCTGTCTGCTCGTCCCTTAATTTAGCGTGTTGCATTCTTGGTCCAACAATTCTGCCCTCCTGGATTCCCCAGGCCCTGGAATCTGTCAACAGCCAGCTGCGGGAACTGTTCCCAGACAGCGAGGAGCTTTTTGACATCGTCCTCGTGACCAACAACCACGCGCAAGTGGGTGTCCGCTTGATCAACAGCATCAACCACTACAGTGAGTAGCTGGAAGGCAAGACCCTGACCAGCCTCCGCCAAGGAGCAAGCGGGTTCTTTGCATCGGTCCATTTGCACGGCCAAATGCATCGTAGTTTTGTACCGGCCCCCAATTTCTCTCCCCCCGTACCGGGAAAGCTATGCTTGGCATTTCTAATAAGTGCTTCTTTTCAAAAAGGGATAAATGTGTGTCAATCCTAACAATCGTAACTTTTCATGACAGGTAGCAATTCCTTCTCTGTGAAACTCTGCACTTCTTCCTCCAGGCCACCTCCATGCAGATTTCATGATTTCAACAACCACAGCCCTTAAAGAAACAAATGGCTTTTCCTACACCTTTCCTGTTTTTTGTAACATTTCATCGAGTATGATCCTCTAATTTTGCACATATTTGCCGGCCCTAATAAAAAATACTGCCTGATTGTGGATTCCGGCATTTTTCTTATGGTCCAGAATAATTTGCTTTATTGTTCTCTGGGCGCAACGTTTCTGAGGGATAAGCTTGGAGGATAGGTGCTCTCCAAAAAGTGAAGAAAGGTGAGGCCAGGACAAAAGATGCATTTCATTTAAGTAAAATTAAATTAAGCACAAATAATATGGTTGCACTATATATTTTCAGTGATCTTTCCTTTCTAGAAACATGGAGCTGGAAGGGCCAAAGTAGCCACCAAATCCACCCTCCTCCTCAGTGCAGGAGTTCAAATCAAGGCAAGGTTGTCCACAGGGAGGTGAAAAAAGTCGAGATGGAGACCACAACCAGGTGATCTTTTTTAGGTGCGTTGTGATGCATGGTTGCGACCACCACCTTGACCCTCTCCTTGAGGACACCCTGAGCCAAGGCATCTCAGCAGGCAGCTCTCCAGCCTCTGCTTGATCCCATCTGCAGAAAGGGAGGCACAACCTCTTTGGGAAACTGGCTCTACTCTCCAACCACTCTTCCTGCTATGACGTTTTCTAGCGCTCCAGCCAGCTCCGTGTCCCCGGAACTGAAATCCATTATTCCATGCCCTGCTGTCTGGAGCAAGAAAGGCCAGCTCTTGACCTCCTTGCACGTGGCATCTTTTCAGATATGAGAGAGTGTGGTCCTATCCCACATCAGTCATCTTTCTAAACTTATCCCCTTCTTTCAATCTCTCTTCACAGAACTTCATTTTTCAACCCCTAACTATCCTTGTCCTTTCTGACTTTTATTCCAGTTTCTCCAACTGTAGCGCCCAGAACTGGACACGCTCCTTGAGGCAGGGACTGCTCAACGCAGAATGTAGTTAAATTGTTCCTGACATGATTTGGAAACTCTGCTTTCACTGAAAAAATCTTTTTTTTGCAAGTAGTATTTCCAGGCCAGATAGGCCTTATTCTGCAGCTGCGGTTTCTGTTGCTGAAGGGAAGAACTTGCATGGACCTCTCTGGCATTTCATTCTTTTCTTTTCAGTCCATCCTTTGCCTACCCAGATAGTTCTGAATGGGGATATATATGGGGATATATGCCACACATATTGTTCTGAGAATGGAACATTCTGTTATTCTCCCGATTTTGTGGTGCCCAAAGACTTTCCAGAAGTAAATCTTACAGAACAGGAGGCGGTTCATAATGTTTTACTCGCCTATTACTTCTCCTGCGTAGGGCTCTTCCTGACATGTCTTTCCCCCATCTTTGAGATGGAGGAACATGTCAGTCTAAAAAGCGCTGTCCCCACAGCCCATCTTTACCACCCCTGGCAATGGGGCTGGTCGGGATTGGGTAATTTCAGGACAAAAACTGGGGGGGTCTTGCCATCCTTCCTGCTCCAATCCAGCATTATCTACCAGCAGGGAAAGAAACTGCTGATTGCTCCTCTAGTATTTTCCTTTCCTTTCCTTTCCTTTCCTTTCCTTTCCTTTCCTTTCCTTTCCTTTCCTTTCCTTTCCTTTCCTCCCCTTCCCCTTCCCCTTCCCCTTCCCCTTCCCCTTTCCATAGTTCAGAGCTGCTATTCTTCTGTGCCTAACACGCCAGCTGTCTGACTCAGAGGCTTGCTCAGGATGGTTGGCAGCAGAGCCAGCCCTGGGAAAACAGAAAACTGGGAGGCCAATGAGAAGGCCAACATGGGGCAATTGGCCTCATGCTTGGAAAGGTTGTTAGCCAATGCGCCCCTGGGGAACTCTGGATCTCTCATCAGCACATACACAGAGCCAGGAGGAAAGGGCATCCTTGCCAGCTGGTGGGATGTGTGGGCAAGAAGAGCTGTCCAGCGAGCTGGTCAATTTCAGCCTCGTTGATTCACATGAAACCAGATGGGCTTGCCAATTCCAGTCCACTGGAACTTTTGACTGGGCTGCTTTGGGTCCCTTCTGGGTGTTACAAAGAAGAGGGGAAGAGGGGGAGCATCTAAGAGAATGGGAGGCATCCATGCCTCCTCCACAAAGCCGAGGGAGGGAAAGTAGTGGTAGAGCACTTGTGCACAATGGGAGATGGGGAGGGCTCCACAGTCCACCTTGGGTTTTCCCTGAGGTTGATATTCCCATGATCAAACCTCACAAAAAAGAATGAAAGAAAAAAACAAGCTGTACCGGTGAGGTGTCCAATTCCTCTGGTAGCCACAGCAAAACTGGCCACGGAGGCTCAGTGCCCAGGAGCTGGATTGGGGCGGGGGTGGCCCTGAAGTGGGCCAATTTCATGCCAGAGCACCTTGGGTGACTTCAAGCTGCTCCAGGAGCAGAGGCTCTGCTGTGAATTCATGTCCTTGGCCAACAGTTTGTGAGGCATCTTCCCATTGCAGCAGCCAGGATCTGTGGGTGAGCCTGTAGGGCTTTGCCCACATTGTTTACTTCCAGGATTAAAACCAAATCGTCTGCAGACGCCCTTCATTTCTACTTCTTTTTTCACCTTCGCCTCGGCTATGCTCTATCTTGCCTTATATCTCTATCAAGGACTTCAAGAGCCAAAACAAACAGCAGTGGCGAAAGTGGGCACATCTGTCTTGCCCCTCTTTGTATTTCACAGGGTTTAGTCAATTCACCATTAACTATAATTTGTGCCTTTTGTGAGGTATGTATCAATTTTACCCATCTAATAAAATTTTCTCCAAATTCCATGTTTTCCAAAATTTTGAACAGAAAAGCCACATTGTGCGCTCCCAGAAGCCTTCGGGTCACCTTGGAAGGTCCCATTCCTGCTGCTGCCCCACGACTGGCCAACGCTTTTCCCTTTGCTGGCAACAGACGGGAGAGGGAGAACTGCAAAGCTGGTGAATTCCACAAATCGTTTTGCGTATCTCGCCCTGCATACCCAATCAGGGCAGCTGTTGGAAAGAAGCAGGGAGTGGGTGGACCACCAGGGCAGCGGATTTCACTCTGACATAGTTCTCTGCTGGATTAGGAAGAGGTAGCACTTCAACCCAGCAGCGGGGAAGGACCTCGGAAGGAGTATCGAATCAGGACAGCTGGTCCTCTTGTGCATTTCCATACCCTTGAAGGAGAAAGTTGTCAGCAAGTCAGATTAGCCATTTTTTGGGAAAAACCATTACCATTTTTGGGGTAATTAAAGTCTCCCATACCTGCTTCACATCTTCTCCTTGACTGGATGCTTGGTAGTAGATAAAGGGATACTGTGTTTATATCATTTCCCTTGTTTTTAACCCAGATGCTGTCCAGGGCCACCAAGTTAAACCCTTTGGATTTCGGTGTGGTTAGGGTTCTTTTAAACATACAGCACCACACCCCTTCCTTTCTCTCACTTTTGTCCCATATGAAGAAGCTAAATCCTTTAAGTTCCCTCTTCCAGTCGTGGGAATCATCCTGTCAGGTCTACATTTTACCTATTAAATATTCCTTTCCTGTAATAAGTGTTCATACTCATCTTGTTTATACTCTGAGGATCATTATCAGAGCCAACAGTTATGGATTTTCTGAAACAGAATGCCTACTGATTTTTCAGTATCATGATTTAATAGACCCCTGTTTATTTGTTCTTTCACTTGCACAAGCTGTTATCTGAAATTCTTATTTCTGAGTTTCCTTCTGAAACCCACTAGGACTCAGTTTAAAGTCCTCCTGATCCAGTTGGACGTGATTTTAGCCAAACAAATCCTTTCTAGAATTTTTGGGATGCATCCCATCTACTTCCAACAATCTTATCATCCAAATAATGCAGACAATGAGAGACAATTTGGTGTAGTGGTTAAGACACCAGCCTAGAAAATGGGAAACTGTGAGTTCTAGTCCTGCCTCAGGCATGAAGTCAACTGGGTGACTTTGGGCCATTCCCTCTCTCTCAGCCCCTAGGAAGAAGAAGGCAAGGGCAAACCACTTCCAAAAATCTTGCCAAAAAACTGCAGGTACATGTCCAGGCAGTTGGCAGGAGAAGACTGATTTGAAAGTACAAATATCATCATCATCATCATCATCATCATCATCATCATCATCATCATCTGCTAAAGGCAGCTTTACTTGGAATAGCTTATATCCTGCGATGATACCTTTAACACCATCAAAAAGCAACATCTGCCTATCCCAGATCCTTGGGAAGGACTCGATAGCTGGATAAAAATGCCAAATCCAGTTGGCTGACTGTGCGACCAACCATAATAATAATAGTAATAGTAATAGTAATAGTAATAATAATGACAATGCTTCCAGAAACGAAATCTATTTCTCTGATATCATTTCCATGTCATTTCCGGTCATTCATGGCTGCATTCTTCTTTTCCTTTCTAGTCCTCCACAAGTGGAAGGGTGGATGTGAATGCCCTCTGAGTCTCCGGCTTCTTCCTTTTCTTCCTTGAGCTTCGAAGTCTAAGGTGATACAGGTGTAGCTGCTCTTGATGGTATCAGTGGTCTCTGTGTAGATGATTATGAAAAGGATCTCTGTCATGGGGTTGATGAGTCTCAGCTGCTGCTCCATTATACCTTTGATCCATAATCTTGGAACACAACACATGACCTTCTTCATGGATCTGGCTGGCAGACATTAATGTCTATTCCTTATAGCAGGAAGTTATCAACTTCTGCAACTTTTCTTTGTCCTCCTGTAGGTAGTAAATGCATTTCCTCTGCTATTTGCTACTCCAGCTTCTGTTTAGCACAAGCTCCCGCTGTTCCCCCCTTGTTTTTGTTTTTCTTCCATAGGAGGATTTGAAAGCTCTTCCTGAGTTCTAACAATGCAGAATATTTTCTTTCTCTGCTACTTCTGCTCCCAGTGTTATTCCTTAAATATTCTCCTCCTCTTGATTTTTTAGAAAGTCACTTCTTGTGTCAGGCTTCCTGTGGTGCTTCTTTATTTTGTCCAAGAACCTTCATAATCTCTCATTAGTCAAGTATGGCCACTTTCTTATCAGCCACAGTAATGACTCTGCATTGGCTGCATACGTATGCTTATTTCAGACAAGAACACAACATATCACATGAATTTCAGGTGACAGCTGCAAAATCACTGCTGTCCACTTTCTCTTCAGCTTCTTGAACAATCAGGCCAGAGGGAGGATTTGTTAGACCCCTGCCTTTTGATCTCTGATACCAAACTCCTATAAGATCTACCTGTTCACACCCTCAGAGAGCTTGCTCTCTGGAAATTGGCTGCCTTATACTCGTGTGGAATCACTTCTGCTGGCTCAACAGGAAATAGTTTCTTGGACACCCGGTAAGCAGCTCTCAGAACATACTCTTTGCAGTAACAACTGTTTAGGAGATATGCTTTTACCTGATGCAGCTGAACACCGTCTCTAGAACACACAGGTTTTTAATATATTCTTCTTTTTGGACTGCACTGCCAAATTTCTGCTCAGCTTTAACTTTCCCTGTCTACTTGTTCAGTGGTATTACTGTTACATTAAACACTGCAGGTTTTGGCAACCTTTCATGTCCTTCCCGGATCCTCGGGTTGGGCATCTCTGCCCACCATGTGTTCTCCACAAGTGTTGGCCAGAGATTCTGATATCCCGAAGGCATCAGGATGAGGAAGGTTGGCTTCCTGTTGAGTAACAAAGTGTCTCTTCCTCTCTTTTCAGATCTATTCATTGAGAGGTTTTGTATGACCGGGGGGAACAGCCCCATCTGCTACTTGAAGGCCTACCATACCAACCTCTACTTATCATCAGACTGTGAGAAAGTGAGTGAGGCCATAGAAGAGGGTGAGTGATACTGTTGGAGGCAGACCTTTGGATAGAAGTAGAAGTGAAAGTTTGTGGGGCCTTTTTGACTGAAGGGCTGGGAAATGACATCTGAGTCTGTATATACCTGACACATGTCTACTAAACTCCAAATCAAGTTCACCTTCACTGCTTATTACTCCAGGAACCATGGCTATTGTAATTTTACTGATACAGTCTTGTAAGCCATTTAATTCTGTTTGTATAGGTTTATAGGTCCCCCCAGCCCCACATGCTCCTGCACTGTATGTTTGCTAGCCTTCCTAGTCATGGCAGAAATGGCAATGGGGAGGTAGAGTCGGGCATCTGTCATAATCTATTACCATGTCAGAAATGTCTTCGTGGGCCAGAGGTAGCCTTTGACTGAAGTTTGTTTGCTTTATCAGCATCAGGTTGCTTAGAAGAGCCAATCCAGGTTAGGGTTTCTGCCAGTAAAGAGAGTGTGAGGATCTCATTGGTTCATGGGCATAAGACTGATCAGAGGCATTGACCAGCTGCCAAGTCCAAAAGAGTTGGAATCTAACACATCTGGAGGACACTTTGACAGGGAAGAGCCTTTAGGGAATCCTGTTGCCAGATGTAAGAAGTTGTGGGGAGGCTGGGAGAGGAATGGAAGGAGAGGATACAGAAACCATCAAGAGAAAGCAGCAAGTCAGTCCATTGGCAGCAAGTGAGTCCATAGATTTTGCCTTAATGAACCCGTTATAAATGAGAGGTTGGAAGTTCCTTTTGCTGTTTCCCAAATTCTGTAGTTATCCCCAGACTAGCATTAGAGAGATCTTCCTGAAGTCTCTGAAGTTCTTGCTTTGTTGATTTTGCCCAGCTGGGTGGGACTTGAACCTCACACACACATACGCACACACACACTCTCCACATTTCGTTTTTTCCTATACCTTGGTGCAATTCATATAAATGTTGAACTTTGGGCAACTTTTCATTAATAAGCATAACAAGAAAAAATAAAACAGATTGGAGTGAAAGCCACCAGTAAGGGTGTGGAAAATGGCAGACCCACTGGACAGCATTGGGCAACATGAGTTCAAGGATGCTTAACTTCTCTTCTCTTCTCTTCTCTTCTCTTCTCTTCTCTTCTCTTCTCTTCTCTTCTC